GGGAGAAGATGGGGAATTAGTGCGATGGAAAGAGAAGAAAATGAAGTGGGGTGGGTGAGGGAGAGGGGGGGGGGGGAGTATATGGTGTGCAATTGGGGTACACCAAGTGGTGTACCCCTAGCGGGACTGTTCCTAATTTGATGCTCATTCTAATTCCATGAAAATTCCTCCAATCTAAAAATATTTGTCGCATTACTCTTGAACTCTTTAAAAATTGTGTAAATTCCCTTGATTTTTAAAATTGCACCAAGATTCCTGAACATTATTTAAAAACGCTACGTCAATGGTCTCTTTGTGCTAGATTTTTGAGTGCGTTAATCACACGCTTGAACATTGCAACTATGGACTCATCTAAACTCATACCCCTCCATTCCAAAACACTCACACTTTGACATTGCACGATGTTTTAAAATAGTAAAAATATGGTTGAAAGTGATGCAGAGGAGAGGAAAACTGAGAGCCGCTCAATGAATCCAAAAAAGGAAAAATGAGGCTTTTTTAGGGGACGTCTCGAAAAGAAAATGAAAAGTCTTTTTTGGGACAGATAGAGTATATCACATTTGAGTTCTGAAATATGCTTTTTAACCTCTTGAAACCCTAGATAATTATTCTCCATTTAGCCGTCAGTAACAAAACTCAAAGCCCGTGCAATCAAGCGATCAAACTTTTCGTCAATTGATCAACCACATCATCAATTTATGGTATCTTCATTAAGCTTTAACGGGTATATATATTGATGAGCGTGTGATTAATGTAATGCTAAGTCTTGCATTAAAGGATCATTGATGCAATGTTTTTAAAAGTTCACAGACCATTGGTATAATTTTTAAAGTTCAAGAGGAATCTACGAAATTTTTGAAGAGTTTAGCGGTAAATGGCCAAAAAACTCTAACATTGTACAAAATAAAGTGAAATTTTAAATTTTTGCAAACTACTTTATTTAAAAATCAATATTGGAAAAAAATAAATTTACATATATATTGAAAAACTACGTCAAAAGTTCTTCAAAATATGAGGTGACGAGAATATTTTATTTTATCAAATAATCGATGAAAACATATGAATAAACAAAAGTTCCCGTGATTTTTAAATAGTAAACTATGACATACATTAAAGAGACAGAGAAAGTAAAAACAAGTCAAACATTATTTTTAGCTTCGTTATAAAACAATTTCTCAATATACTGAAAAATACATTTGAACACATTACATTTTCATAGGGTTTTCCTACAACAAAAAAAGACATTTCTTAATAAACAAAAGGGATTACAAGGGAGAAGACCAAGCCAAAGCCTATATTTCTTGAGCAAGAAAGGAGTTTTCATATGTAAGAACTTACATAAGAACTTAGTGTTAGACTGTTAGTTTGACAAGATGATATTGAGCAAGCTGGGAGTTTCCACAGGCAAAAGCTATGTTTTAGATGGACTTTTTATGTTGAATGTTGTACGCATTATTGTTGAAAAAAATAATAAAACTACAATTGTTAGAGAATTAGTGACGGAAACTTAATTGTAAAACAAAAAGGTTAGTAATAAAAAGCTCGAGACACGTGGAACGTGTTGAGTTAATGTGCTCAAGTGGCCAATCATGTGATGTATGTCTCTTATGGTCATCATGAATAATATAGGCCCTATAGATTGTTTATACATCTCGTTTATCCAAATATGACTTTAGTCCATAGACTTAGCGCTCCGGTAACATAGATGAAAACAATGATGTTTTGATTATGAGGCAGTTACAAGGATAGAGGATAGGTCTAAAATATCCTTAGTCGAATATTATGACAACACGAAGATCATAATATGTTAAGACTAATATGAATGAGACAAGATAGCTGCATTGTAATGCTCTAAAGTATACCTTAGAATTTTATAATGAATTTCTAATAAATCATAATTATAATTTTGATTAAAATAAAAAAATGTCACTGCTAAATTTACTTTATTTTTGAAGTAAACATTTTATAGTCAAACTTATACTCGAATTGAAGGTCTCGGTGAAACAAGTTCAACGAAATGTACCATGCCCGAATCTCATGTACGAAACATAGTCACTTGACCGCCCAAGATTAGAAAAGATAATTTAGTAAAAGAATATAATACAAGTATGTCATAGAAATAATATTATAAACACACACACACATGCATCAGGGATAAAGTTTTGAGACTTTTAAAATTTAATTTTAAAAGGGGCACAACAAGTAGATCTTTGTCGTAGATACTGTTAAGCACTTTCAACTACGAAACTGCTCCGATACCACTTGTTAAACGTCGTGCCCACACCTTAGGGGGGATAAGGCATTTGAAAACTTTTCAGAATTTGATAAATTTGGTGGTGGTAAATGCGGAAATAATATATAAATGCAGAAATAAAAGCGTAAAATAAGAACACACCAAATTTTAGACATTTTCGGGAAACCCCTATTCCAGCTCCTTAAGGATTTCCAAATCCACTAAGTCCCGGTCTCTTGAGCTCCGTCAAAACACTGCACTAGTTTGGCAAACAATCCTTGCCAATAGAATTCACTCCGAGATTTTATAGCGGCTATCTCGAACCGCTTACAATGAAGATTTCACGGCTATCTTCAATTGTTCTCCCAAGGATTTATGAACCTTCTACCCAAGGATTTATATAGCTATCCTTGATCGTTACAACGTGAGAATTTAATAGCTATTTTGACTGTAAGAAAATGTGTTTGAAGAACACAAGAATTGAGTTCTACACAAGGGTTTGATTACAAAGATGAAGAACCAAACTTAGCCGGTGTAGAACAAAAATATACTCTCTCAAAAATACAATATAAACTTATGAATATGAGAATATATAACTAGAAATACAAGCTCAAAGTGTGTGTAAAAAATCAGGAAAAACAAGGCTCTTTGAATAGCCAAAATATAAGAATGAAGAATAAAAAGTAAACACACTTCAAATATAAAAGTGGGATGTTTGGAGCTTGAGTTCTTGAAGAAAAATGAAGGATGCGGTCCATATTTATAGTGAAAATATTTAGTGAGCCGTTGGATGGTGATTGGGTTAGGATTTGACTAATTAAATGTTATAATCAAAATTTGAAATTTGAATTTTCTCCAACGGTCACGGTAGGTAGGTACCGTCCTCACGGTGTCAAGGTACCGTTCGTACGGTAGGGGGTACCGTGAGTGGCGGTATCTAGGTACCGTATACCTTCAAAAATCAATCCGGCTCTAGCAGTACCTAGCCTCTAACGGTACCATGCATGGTACCGTGTCTGCGATATACCCTACTGTGTAAACGATATAGGGTACCATTTGGGGTATCGTGGCTACTGACGGGATTTTCCAAAAATGTCTTAATCCTTCTCGTTTGAGTTTAAAACCTTTTGGATATGATGTTTGAAAGTATTTGTGAGGTGGTTTTAAACAAATTTTGTGAGTGAATTTGAGTTTGTGAATATAGGTATATATAATCATATCCTTACATTGGTTTCTACATATATTCTACGCTAGTTTAATGTTTTGACTTCATTCTTGAGAATCGAATCTTAATAAATTCTTGTGTTACCTGAAACACTTTAACAAACGTTTAGCTCTTATATTGTTTGTTAATATCAAAACACGAGGCTTAGCAAACCAAGGCTAACAATGGGTTTCCATGTAAAAAATAACATCTTCGTATTTTTTGTGATTGTTAGACTCACTTATTATTTTTACACAATAAAAATGATAACACTGTTCGTAAAATTTAACACCATCAATACCTATACTATGTTTAGTGGAGTCAACTGACTCCACCTGCCCATATGTAGGTCCGTCACTGCCTCTCTCTTAGTGTATTCGTAGAGTTTAACTTTTCAGAGTCAGACATGATAAACTTTGAATGCTAATTAAATAAAAACAGTAATATATATTACTTTAAAATGATTTAATTAGATTCAATTCAATATATTAGTATGCTACACAGACGGAGAAGAATTGATTTATAAAGTCCATCTTGTTTGACTCAAAAAAGTCAAACAAGAAAAGTACACTAGGACAAAGAATAATTATTTAAAAATGGAAGTAAAACATGGAAAAAGTACAAAAATACGAGTTCCATGTTTTTTATCCCCAAAATAGGAGTACAATGCCAATATATAGTACCAAAAAATAGAGTGGACACAGTGGGAAAAACTCATTGACGGGAAGAACGGCATGGCGTCACACAAGAGAAATTGTGTGATTGGAAGTGATCCAAGAAATTCAAATGGGAAATTTACTTAAAGGGTAATTTACCTAAATAGCATTAAAACATAATGACTTTTTCTAAATAGTACTATATGTGTTTTTTCCCCAATGTAGCACTTTTAGTCATTATCCATTAGTCATTCTTTAAGTAAATATTCGCAATCACTGGATATTAATCCTCCTTCTGGATACTATTAAGTGCTATTTACGAAATATTACAATTTAAGTGCTATTTAGGGAAATAATTAAAGCTTTAGTGCTATTTAGTGTAAATATTTCAAATTAAAAATATGAGGCAGAAAAACTTTTGCAAAAGGATGAAAGAAGACTACTTTTTGGGACATCACAAAAGGTAATGTTAATTCAAGGATAGAGGGAGTTAAGTGAATGTCCAAAAGAAGAAGACAAATATAAGAGAATCATTTATGAAATATTTATCAAAATATAATTGACGTCTAAACTCTAGCCTCTGAAGTAAAATTTGTATGAGACATCCAGAAGAAAAAATGTTAGTTTTTTCTTGATGAAGCAGCAGCCTGCAATATATCTTCTTCTTTTACTGAACTCCGTCGAGAAGTCTGCTTCTTAAGAACCCTTTCCTGCATTCACAAATACCATACAAATAACAGCAAAAGAACACATATATAAAATGTTACACAAACTTTCATTATAATTCATTAATTAAACCCTTTATTATACTCCTCTATATCACAAAATAGTTCCGCCCTAACTTTTTAGGCATTTCTCACTAATCATTTTTACTCACCTAAAATCCTTGCAAATACAGCTCATTTCTTATTTATGGCGGATAAAAGTTGTTTTGGAAATATTTTACGTGGGGTAGTAGTAGTATTTTGTGGGATACGCAAGAAGTTAGGGCGGAACTTTTTTGTGAAATGGAGAGAGTATACGGTTCATGCACTTACGTCGCTGAGGAGGAGGTCGCGAGGCTCTAGCATGTGGATCACTTCTCCCATCTTCGGCCTGTCGTTCGCGTCCGGATCCACGCAACGGAGGCCAATGAGTATGATCCGTTTCATCTCCACGGGCGAGGGCGTTTCCGTCAGCTTTGGATCCACCAGTTCTTCAACTTTCTTGTGCTCCACCATGATTTTTATCCAATCTATCAAGCATTCCTGCATCAAGTATCAAGTGATAGAAATTATGTTAGAATATAAAAAGAAAATTTGAAATTACAACCAAAAGCTTGAGAAGCTTTTGGTAGAGTTTTATGAAACGAAAGGAGTATATATGAAACTATAAGAGCGTATTAGCAATGTTTCAGAAAGTAAAACCGTCACCTCAGTTTCAAAAGCGGTGTTAAATGTAATTGCGTTTCCAGAAATGATCTCCATGATAAGTATGCCAAAGCTATAGACGTCGCTCTTCTCGTCAAGGTTTTCGGGGCATGCGCTTTGTGGTGCAAGAACATTATTGTGGTTCTTCCAAACAGAACCATGGTTCTTGGTCATACCAAAATCAGTGATCTTAGGGTTCCAATGCCTGTCAAGAAGTATTTTGCTTGAACTTAAGTTTTGGTGCACCACTAAAGGCTCTGTATCTTCATGAAGGAAAGCCAAACTGCATGCAGTAACAAAAAAACAAAACAAAAAATTTATAGTTTACAATATATATGTACCATAAATATATAACAGTAACACATTATGCTTAGATTAATGAACGAACCCTCATGCAACGAAACAAATTGAACGTACCCTTTGGCGACTCCAAGAATAATATTCATTCGGATGCGCCACGTTAACGGGCTGGCGTGGCTCGGGCAATCGTGAAGCCAATGCTTTAGAGTACCATTGTCTACATATTCATACACAAGAACCCTGCAATATTTTATGTCACATATAAAAGTAATGGTAAGTTAAGTTTCCCCTCTTCTCTCACCTTTTGGTACCCCCAAAAAAAAGTCTGGTTTATTTGGGCATAAAAATTAATTATGGTACCTGTAAATTCCTTCAGCACAAAAGCCAACTAATTTCACCAAGTTTTTGTGTCTTATACACCGAACTCCCTCCACCAATTTAATGAAGTCCTCAACTTTATCCCTGTTCATTTATATATAATTTTTATTAAAAAAACCACTGAACAAATAATGTTATGGTTATTAAGACCCATTTGTGCATTACTAAGAATGTTGTGCAAGATAATAACTCGTTAGAGCAAATAATGAAACCAATTCTGAAATACATGTACTAAAAATGAGGGTCCACACATGTAAGAGTAACTTATTATTCTTTAAAAAATGTTGTACATGAAATATAACTTAATTTTATGAAAAAGTGAGGGTCCACACATGTATTTATAAGTGAAATTTGCACTAAATACATTGATTAAGGAAAAAGTTAATGAAATGACCAACCATGCACACTGACGTAATCTGAAGGATTATTCATAAAATTGTGAGAGTTTTTTTAGGGATAAATTTTTTAATTGGAAAACTAACTGTGCATGATGCATTAATTTGAGGGACTAACGGTGCAATTTAGTCAAGATTTTGAATTTTTTTTAAAACAAAAGAAATCTAATAAAATCATTTTGTATGGATATTAAGGCAAATTCTTTCGTTAACCTAAGGTCCATGCATATTTTATGGACATTAGTGCATTTGTAGCACAAAAAAGTGAGCCTTTTACAAAATATAAAATATCCACATGAAAGCCATCACTCGGATATTAAATACTCTCTTCGTCCTATATCTTTCTTCCCATTTTGATTTTTACGGTAAACTTTTTTTAACTTTGACGACCATGAATTATAATAAAAATATATTTAATAATGAAATAAATTTAGTATCGATAGATTCATTTTGACACAGAATTTTGAAATATCTTATTTTTATGGTCTATAAATATTCAAAAATATAGATATTTATTGTCAAAATGATGCATTAGAACTGTGAAAAGTCAAATTGAAAAGATATAGGGTGGGGGAGTATAATACTCCGTACATATTTATTTAATAATTAAAATTTATCTAATTCAACCACACAAAAAAAGTCAAATTGAATAAATATATTCCAAAAGAGGTCAATGTTTGTAACTTTTTTTTTTGTTTTGAAACAAAACAATTTGTAACCTAGTAGGAAAGTAGGAAACAAATACCATACTCCGAGTATGCAGTAGCCAACCTGTAACAGAGCAGGCGTTTGATCACGACTCGAGTGCGATCCAACAGCACCCCACGGTAAACGACCGAGCGCTCGCCGCAGCTGATCACATTCCCACAAGCGAACCCGCCCGTCGCCGCCTCCAGCTCCTCCACCGTGAACCGCAGTCTCGGCCGCCAACACCCCCCGCCGGACTCCACATCCCCGCCGCTCGTTCTGCTCCCGCAGCGGCCGCCGAGCTCGGGGCGTTCACGGGGAAGTCGAGGCATCGGGTTCATGGACGGGGAGGCATTATTGTTGCGGGGCTTTTTGGGGCGGGGGCAGGAGAGGGCGATGAGGAGGAGGAGGAGGAGAGTGAATAGTGATACGATTAGAGAGGTGGGAATTAGAATTAGAATCCATAGTTTGATGCCGAAGAAGGGAGTTGGGGTGCAGAGTTTGTGGAGGATGGAGGAAGAAGAGGTTAAGGAAGGCATTGTTGTTATATTATTATTGAATGGAAATCTAATTATATATGTATAGTAATTCAATTAGAAATTTAGAATAATGGTTATATGATGATGAATGAATGGATTATACTCCCTCCGTCCCCCTAAAATATTCTCATTTTGACTTTTGGTTATTTTTAAGGAGAGTTGAAAAAAAGTGAAAGTTTACCATAATATCCTTAATGAAAAATGGATGGAGCGTATTAAATGAGGTGGGTGAGGTGTAATAAATAAAGTAAGTGGGGGTAGTTGTGGTATTTTAATTGTTAAAAAATGAATTGAAAAGATCTATTGTGGAGAAAGAAAAAGGGCTATTGGGAAGATCTATGGGGAGATTGAGGGAGTATATGAAGAAGAGATTGAAGAAGTTGAGTGCAAGTGTGCAACTCAACAGCTGCTATTAAAACGAAAGCAAAAAAAATTCAAATCAGCGGAATAATCTGGGCGTAAGCGGCGGGCAGCTGTGGATTATTATTAGGAACAATAATCCTTATATTATTACTCATGTCATTCTTACTCGTCAGGGTGAGGCATTTTATAAAATGTTTTTTTATTCTCAAAATAAGATTATTAGATTATGATAGTATATGTAATTTGGCACTATATATATAGGGCATATTATAAGTTTTTTATTTGGTATTATGTGTTAAATTTTAGACATTATAAATATTATTCTGGGATGAAAAAACAAAAGGTGGTGTCTTTAATTTATTTTTATTGCTATGTTTTAGTCATGTTTCGATCTTTTTTTCCATTAAAAAAGTTGGAACTCGATATATTTTAGTCTCTAGCTAGAGTAAGAAAGACATATTTGTGTGTCAAAGATCTTGTGGTCTCGTGATATTAGAAGGTCATAGGTTAAAAGAAAGAAGAAATAGTTTTACCATCTAATAGTACTACTACGTAATTGTTTATTTTATTTAGGATAGATCTTGTTAGGTTATTGTTGTTGCAACCTTTATGAGTTTCCTAAAAGTAAAATCCAAACGTTAAATATGTAGGTTATTCATGATAAAAGTTTTTTTTATTTTTTAGATGAAAAAAAGGCTAAATTCTACTTTTGATCCTTCAAGTTAATACATATGGAGTAATAACAACAACAACAACAACAACAACAACAACAACAACAACAATAATAATAACAATAATAATAATAATAATAATAATAATAATAATAATAAAGTAATGTGATGTAATCGAATCATAATTATTATTTAATCATTGAAAAAATATTAATATTATTTTTATTATTTTTTTCTTGATCTGATCTGATAGAATCTGATCCGATCTAGTTAGAACTAATCTTATATGATTTTAATAAGAATAAGTAATAAGCAGAAAAAATAGGCCTTGCGTAATGGACCCTAAATTAACATCATGCCAAGGGGATGTTTTATTACAAATTACCCTAAACAGGACTAAAACATAGAAAAGGTACCAAAATATGAGTTCCATGTTTTTATTTCGGAAATAGGACTTCTACTATCATAATGTAGTTGTAAAGTGGCACTGTACATGTGCACATCAATATACTTTTTGGTAATGTACATAACCATGTTTGGTAATTTAATACTACCTCCGTCCCAAAAAGATTTACACATTTTGACTAAAGTTGAAATTAAGGAGGGATAATTTTGTGTTGACTTTCCAAAAATATCCTTGATGTGATAGGTAAAAGTAGGATGTGATATGTAGATTATTAGGAAAAAAGTATGATGTGATAGGTAGGGTTTAAAAAAGTAAGGGGCAAAAGTGGTTTTTTAATAGAAATGAGTAGGAGATTGTGGGACGCAATTTTTTTGAAAGGTGTAAATCTTTTTGGGACGGAGGGAGTACATTTTAACTCTTATTTCGGGAATAAAAACATGAAAATATTATTTTGGTATATTTTTAATGTTTTACTTCTACTTTAGTTTCTTTTCCCATGTTTTATTAGTGTGCATGTACAATATGTAGCTCCGATCCGTGACCGTTAATAGAGCTTGAAACTCTTCAAAACTCTATGAAGGAGATAATGATATGAGAGAGAGAGAGAGATATAATGTGTCTGAGATCTTATTTATTTGGCTTCCCTTCTCCATTGCACTAGCTCCCCTTATATAGTTACGTGAGAGTCTAGGGTTGGGATTTTACTGGAACGTTTTTTCATGGACCGGTCCAATATCTACCAGCTAAGCTAGCTAGTCCAATGAGTATTACTCCATCAAGCACATTATTGAACGTAGTAGACAATATGCACGCAGAGTGAACTGCTTGGAAGTACGTCCATGGACGTTGAATTTGCAAAAATGTCTACGCGATCGACCAATGGACATTAACAAGAGGCACTGCCATGAACATTATTAGAGCTGAGGAGACAGTGTACATTTAAATCGCGATGAACATTAGGGTAGTACGTGAAAGTGCGATTGACGAAGGTGGCGCCATGGAACACTACGTATGATGCAAATTAAAATAATGCACCTTGGACTACGTACTATGAAAGAGCAGATTTTGTTGCCAATATATAATGGAGGACAAGTGACAAGCCAAAAGAGCAGATTTTGTTGCCAATATATAATGGAGGACAAGTGACAAGCCAATTACACACGAGTAGTTTTTTTTAATTGTTTTGTTAATTTCCTTAAGCTTGGGAGGCCGTGACGAGTGAACATTTAAATTGGGACATAGTATAAATTCAATGAATTTGGTAAATATCAACTACTGTTGTATTTTCTGCAATTTCAATGAGAACTACAGAAAATTCAGATATTATTTACCCCAGCAAAGGATCTCATCCCAACAATCTGCACACATTACCCTTTGCTTTCAACAGCATTATTTCAAACAGAAAATAAGGCTAAAATTAGGGGAAAAGAAGATACAGATTGAAGAATATAGCCCACGATAGATGAACTCACTTCACCTCTGATGTGTTGTCTTAAATGTAAAAATGGGGAAACGCTTGCATCCTCTTCGATTCCCAAGAAGAATAACAAGACCTTTGGAAGTTACTTGCCTGCCGTTGCTGAGGAAGCAAACGTTGTTCTTCAGAAAGATCGAGTCTTTTAAACACGGAAGGCATTGTTTTCCACGGAGGTGCACGGGGAAAAGGGTGGTAATACACTGCAGGCATTGTCTTCATACATGTTTGTATGAAATTCTTGTTTTTGTCAGATGCCGGGTTAGAGCAGTTACTGCAACCTGTTAGATCTCTGGGAGTGATTGAACTGTCATGCGCCTGCATTTTGAGATAATCAAATGTGAGCAAGTCTTCTTCATCTGGCAGGCATAATGCAGCTTCTGAATCATCGTTGTCTGTATTATTATCAGATATGGTAGAGGGGAGAGAATCAGAAGATGATGGGTTTTCTTCGGAGTTAGCCATCTCAAGCTCCCCAGCAAGGATCGAAGTCTTAATGTCGTTATAGTTCGTGTCGTAGGCTCCGGAGGCAATGAGGAGAGAGGTTAATAAGAAGCGATCGTTTGTGGCAGAAGGTGGCATGTTAATGATTGTATCAACTGAACTTCCAATTGAAGAGGATAGAGCATTGTTCTGATCGACTTCGGTTCTAGGGATTGCATGTGGACAGAGTTCCAGCTCAGAATTTCCCTCGGAAGAAGCCTTAAAAATTGCACCGTCCACATTGGACACAAAGGGGCTCTGAAAGTTTGAGACAACAAGTTCGTACCATTGGACGACAAAAGGTTAGTCTTATTACAGGCTGAAAACAAATATGCTCGTCTTTATAGCAGATAATTCTTCAGTTGAGATATCTAAACTTTCACAAGTTTGTGTGAATACCTATGAAACTAATGACAAACAACTTGGGATATGTATGAGTGTGCTACTAAGAAATTGGAGATTGACTACCTCGATTGCCAATAAGCAGTTGCTCTTGCGATCCCCGACACAGTTGTGATGCTCTCCTATGGTCCTTGAAGGAAATGTTGAATTGTACCCTCCCATACTAACATTTGTTCTTTTATTTTGAGCAAGAGAATCTATAAGTCCACTTCCCTGATCAGCTTTGGTGACTTTGCAAGACAGTTCCCTCTCACCCAAAAAATTGTCAGCAACTTCTTTGCTCAACATAATGTGATGTGGAAGCTTATTCATATGCATAAATAGATCCTCTTCAGCACCAAAGTTAATCACTAAATTTGGGTTTTCAGATTTGGTAGTGCCATCCTGCAATAAACCAAAACTTATTTTCACACAACATTCTTAACCCTTATATAGATTGTTTATGTATAAATATTTGGGGATCCAACTGGGTTGTTGTTGTAAATGTATAAATATTTGTAATACTATAACCAAATTCCACTAGGTTTTCAGTTACTGTCCAAACCTTACGGGTAAGTATAGGACGGTAAGGGTTTTCACTCTTCCCAATCTGATTGTAAACTGGGCCATGTTCTTGAGGTTTTGGTCCAATTACCCTTGTTGTATCCCGCTTCCTGGAATCTGCATTAACATTCAGTTACTCAACATAAGCTACTAGATACATGTTCTTTGGTGTTATCCATCTCAAGCTCACCGGAAAAAATTGAAGTGTTGATGTCTTTATAAACTGTGCCATATGCTCCAGAAGCAATGAGGATAGAGGTTATGAAGCTATCCTTTGTATCAAGAGTGGGCATATTAGCAATTGTATCCACTGAACTTCCAATTGAAGAGGACAGCACTTTGTTCTGATCAATGTCGGTTCCAGGGATTGGATTTGGACCAAGATCCAGCATAGAATTTTGCACAACTTCCTCTGAAGAAGCCTTAATCATTGCATCATCCAGATTGGGAACATAGGGCCTCTGAAAGTTTGAGACAACAAGTTCATACGATTTGGACATATATGCTCGTCCCCGTAGCAGAACACTCTTTAGTTAAGATATATAAATTTTCACGAGTTTGATTGCATAAATACCGAAAAAGTTAACCATAAACAACTCAGGTTATGTATATATGAGTGTGTTCGTTAGAAATTGGAGATTGACTACCTCAATTGCCAATAAACAGTTGCTCTTGCTATCTATAGCACAGTTGTGATGCTCTTCTAAGGTCCTTGAAGGAAATGTTGATTTGTTCTCTCTCATACCAACACTTGTGCTTTTATTTTGAGCAAGAGAATATATAACTTCACTCCCCTGATCAGATTTAGCCACTTTGCATGACGGTTCCCTCTCACCCAAAAAATCGTCAGCAGATTCTTTGCTCGAAATGAAGGGCACGCCCAATCTTTTGTTTATGAGAGGTGGAGAAGTCTTCATATGCATTAATAAATCCTCTTCAGCACCAAAGTTAATCACTGAATTTGAGTCTTCTGATTTGGTATTGACATCCTGCAGAGAACCAAAACTTATTTTCACACAACCATCTTCACCCATACATACAGAAAGGAAAGACTATTTATGTATAAATACTCCGTATCTTTGAGCATTATAACTAATTTTAACGGAGTGTTTAGTTACTGTGTATACCTTACAGGTAGTTGGGGGACGGTAAGGGTTCTCACTTTTCCTAAGCTGATTGTAAACCTGGTCATTTTCTTGAGGTTTTGGCCCAATTACCCCTGATGTATCCCGCTTCCTGGAATCTGCATTAACATTCAGTTACTCAACATAAGCTACTAGCTAGCTAGATCACTAGATCGGTATGAGGCTCTTGTGCACAACAGTAACAGAAGTGCTGAATGCAATTCCCCCTAATAATAGCATGATGAAGTCATAAGTTGTCGCTTCCAGCCAGCTAGGACAATACCTTCAATCAATTGATCGAAAGCATTTAAAATTTTTGTTTGGGATGTTTCTTGGGTGGGGGTTGTGGGGGCAAGAGGATCTTTGCTCTTACATTGGATTGGTCCAACAAATTTAATACTTTCTTATATAGGTATCTAATAATTCAGAACAAACAAAACAAAACAAAACAAAACAAAACAAAACATCTAGCATGATGAGAAAGTTATGTTCTGAGACCTGAACCAGTATGTCCACTGAGAAAGCACACTTCCGTTGACCTGCAAGTTTGATTCTCCCATCTTCCTAAAGGGCTATGAAACTTTCTAAACGAACTACACCTAGTGCATTGTAATGATTCATTGTTACGGTGGCTATAGCATGAGGTTACAGCAGTATTGGACTGCAACCTTCCTTGTTCATCATCAAATTCACTGTTTTGGGTTGAACATATAAGTAAACAAAAATTAGTAGAATATGAAAACAAGCTAGATGAACCACATAAATTAAACAATGAACAATGTTTAATAAATCATCACATACAGCATTAAGCACTCAAGATAGAAGGCATATAATACAAATAAATATCTGCATCTAGATAGATTTTAAGCGAAAATTACTTTGAATCTATGAGCTAAGTGATAATAAATGCGTGAATTCAAACAAATTCGGTCCGCCAGCCACAATCATGATCAACGAAATTCATAATAGACATCAAATCTATGACTAATCTTCAAGGATAAAAACATCAAACTAGTAGAAGCATCAAGGGGTCATAAAAGTAAAGCCATACTCGAAGACCAAAAAAACCAGAAAACTTTATCAGCCAAATCATCCATATTACCATAACACGGAGATGTCAAAATCCGGAGGGAATGCTTTACATTGCTCCAATCCACTCAATGACAGTAAGTGTGATCTTGTATATGTAATTTTCAACTTTCCGCATCTTCAAAATAAGTACAGGAATAAAAAAAACCTTTAGAAATATGTAGCAAAAGTTTCCAGGAATCAAAATTCTAACCAGCTGCTTTATTACGGAGTATATATGAACATAACGCAAATCATTGTTTTACTTTAAAATTTCTAGATGTTTTCCCTCCATCTCAGACAGCTCATTCATCTATCAGCCTTCAATATCTAAACCTGCTCCTCAATTCGTTTCTCTACAAAGTTCAACATAACAACACAAGTCAGTAATTTTCCTCCAACGAACTTCACGTTCCACGAGCAAAAGCTTCAAATCACACATTCTCATGAAATCCGATGTTTGATTTCATCATTTTCGCCGTTCAATGCGGTAATATCAACTCCAAATCGATTTTTGAAAAAAGTAGAACAAAAATAAAAAAAAATTATTCGCATGAAGATTGAAGAGAGAAGAGGAAGTAAAGCTCCATTACAGGGACGAAATGTGCGAATATTTACTTGAATCTGTACAGAGGATGAAAGCCACATTGTTACGAATCGGAGACGAGGGAAGTAGCAGAGGATGATCAAATACGGGCTTGAATGAGCTTTTTTTGCTGTAAGTGGAAATATACAGGAGAGGCTTATATGATGCCGGAGGGGTGAAATGCAAGCTAAAGCAAAATGGTGGGGTTGAGCGGATTTGTCATTTAGAATGAGATGAGGAGTACGGAGTCTTTTGAAGCGCATTTGAACCGCGGCTGAATGTTTGAAAATGGAAATGAGTTTTTTTTTTTTTTTTTGTGTTTATTAACTTATTCTAATGACTTTGGGCATAGTTGGCGGTGTAAATGTTGTTTTAGTCACCTATAATATGTTTGTAAAATTTATAGTTTCAAACCCTCCTAACTTTTCGATAAATCCTTCCATCCCGGCCTGATGTGAATTCATCTCACGACCCCATCAATTTCTTCGTCCAATTTTAGTTGACTTTTAGGTCAAATATCTTGACATCAAAATCAACTAAGTTTGGCAGATGAAACTGAAAGGATTGGGGGCATGAGTTCAAGTCACGCTAAGGTGAGGAGGTTAGGAGAGATAAAATCCATCAATTTTACGAACCGTGTGTCATAGGTGTCTCAATTAGAGCAGGTGTCATCCGTTGACACTCAAAGTGAGTGTGAATTGAACGACATCAAATTAACTTATTGTTAAGTAATTTTTAAATTATAAATTATTTATTGAAATATTTTTGTAAAGTGACTAAGAGCTGATTTATTTATTCATAAAAAGGATAGCTTAGTTATGTAAATGGTTTGTGAAAAAAGAAGAAATGAAAAAAATGACAAAAATCTTCTATTACACGCAGAGAGTAATTTGATAAAAAAAACAATTGTACAACCCAAAAAAACAGTGAGAAGGAAATCATTGAACAAATGGAGTATATCATTAACACCCCTTATATACTCTTTATACAAGCACTATTTTTTGTTGTTGTTTGATCTTTGATCTTTTTTCTCACATTGCAACCAGTCAATCAAATGGTAAAAATCAAACTTTAAGCATTACATTCCAATTCTCGTGCTCCGGTCCATGTTTTGCGCCCAAGCTGGCCCTAGGGAGCCCGTTCGTGCAACGACACAAGACCCGCAAAAGGAGAGCAAAATCTCTAGTGAAGTACTTATTCTATTACACGCAGAGAGTAAATTGATAAATAAAAAAACAAAAACAAAAACAACAACAAAGAAACACACTTCGGCGCCGGGCAATCTTAATGAAGACCTCATTAGAAAAACCATTTTGGCCTGACTTCACATTCAGCTTCAGTCAACTCCCTATACTCGTACCATTTGGCGCCAGCTTTCCCTACAGGCATTGGTGGCCGAACAAATATCTCAACTGGCTTAGGAACATGCACAACAAAATCTAACTCCCCAAAACCTTCTTCTACGCTATGATCTGGTGATTTCAACGTAATGTCAACAGGTTCAACAGAAATCCATCCTAGACCTGATACAGCTACATCACATGCAGGCCTACACAAGAGGGAAAAAAACATGGGGATTTGGAGAAAATTGGGGGAGAGGAAGAAAGAACTCTCTAGCATTTGATGCAACTATTCAGAACTCACCTTTCTATATTGGTGTACTTCAAGTTTATGTGACGTTTTGTTTCAAGTCCCGTCCAGCCTTCTGCCTTTTCTTTTCCTGTAGGGGGTGTCAATAGCACGCCAAGCTCTCTCTGCAATGAAAAATCACATCATGGAACAGAAGAGAATCCACTAAAGACCATCCAAGATTAACACATTTGAATCAGACTAGAAATCAACAAACATTACATTGTAAAAATCGTCGGCTTCTTCAGAAGGAACAATGTGAACTTGCACGGCATTGGGTCCATAAAACATCAAACGCGTCTCGCGAAGAGCCTGTGGATGGGGATGGGGGTGAAATTTTTCAAACAAAAAACATGTCATTAGAAGCACAAACACTGTATGCATGAATCAAGTGAAAAGTTAGGAAGCACAAAGACGAGGTAAAATAACATTTGTTTAACAGTTGCACGAACAATGTGAATAGTTGCATCAGAATTGATTAAGGAATAAAATGAAAACTTTTCCATTATTTGGAGTTATATTCCTTGGTTTACTTCATTGGAAAAAGAAAATGAATAGGTTGAGATGTGAATAAATGTCATGGCACTAACATAATATTTGTGTGTACGAGGGAGTAATATTTTCTCATAAATAGATATAGAGAAATAAGAGAAAACTACCTACAATTAGAATTCAAGGTCCTTATTATAGTACCAGATTAATTACTAACAATAAATTACAATATCGTAATCCACGTGTCATGCAAAAGAAATAAGTATATTACTCTGTATTATTACGCATTGTTGTTGTTGTTGTTGTTGTTGTTGTTATTATTATTATTATTATTATTATTATTATTATTATTATAGAATGTTATTCCCACTTCAGGACTATTTCCCAAACAAAACACGCAAGAACATTCTTTAGCCACAACCTTCTGAACATCAATTCGCACAAGACCTCCCCAGAAAATGGTGAATCCCGTCAACCCGCTTGATCTCACTTGATCTGCCATTTGTTTGTCTACATCCATCTGAGAGTTCTAGTCACAATCAAGAGAGAAAAATAAGGAAAAATGACAAAAGAAAAGAAAATAAAACATTGGTACCTGTTTACTGTTTAATATGGTCAAAGAAACATATCTTGAAAAGAAATACTCAAGGAAGAACATACTGGGAATACTCGGGCACGAAGCCGACTCTGAGGAGCAAGAGCAGGTAGATCTTCTGAATGAACCACTGCAGCTTGTCTATGATGGAGATGGACTCCAGGTGTATCATACATTTTCTAAAAAAACCAAATGCTATTAGGAAGGTCAAGTTAACAATTTACAGAAAACAAGTCAAGGAAAACAGTTTATTCCGTTTCCAATAAGGAACGTGTTAGGCTGTTATTGGACAATAATTCTCACTCGAAAATGCACCAGATACTTTGATCAGTCCACTCTTTTTGTGAGTTCACGACTTCCTCTCTTTCCATTTCGGATCATTTATTAAAAGAATTTGCAGACAAAGTTATCCGATGGAATGTACTTACACCAGCACCTAAGAAAGCATCAATCTGTATTGGACCCAAAGTAGTTCCAGGAACAGCAGACTGAATAGGTTTATATCTTATTGCAGCAGCAGCCACTGGGTCCTTATTTGACATTATCTCTGGGTTCATCGTCAATGATCAATATTGGAAAACAAGAATAGCAGAAACAGAAGAAGTAAAAGACAGTTCACGATGCATTACTTAACAGGGCGTTAATGAATGCAGATTTTCCAACATTGGCTGAACCCTACAACATGAATAAACAAAAGATTCAACATGCAACCCCAGTTGAAAACCAAACCAAATAAAATAGACTTGAGACAAAGTTTGAATGAATAATCATCTCAATGGATGCCAAACCAACTTTTGCCACTCAAAAACATGTTCTAACCAGAATGTAAACGTCCCTTCCCTGCATGTAGGAACACACACATTACTGAAGCACCTTAGTAAAATACAGAGCAACGGATGGTTAAACTATTTCTAAAAAGGGTAAAGTAATATAAGCCTTTTAAGATATAACACACTCAGAGGCCATAAAACATTGATGGAAATGTCAAGACACCCTTAATACAATTTAGAATGCAAATGACTGTTGTGTTGGTTTTGATCATGGTACGTTTGATGTATGTAGTGTTGTTTGTAAGGTTAAAACCATGGTGTATAGAGTCATGTACAAGCTCTATTCCGATTGTATGATTGATTTGTTACTCCACCTTGTGATGGAGTTGATTTGTTCCGGGATGCCCGTTTTCTATTGTATTCCTCGCACTTGGTTACTAGTGTTAATCTTTACAGTTTACCCAAAAAAACCAGAATGCAAATGACTCTTCTCTAATGGATTTCATTAGGAGAGTTCGAAAATTGACTTCCAACCATCTGGTCAGGTTAATACAAAATAACTCAACTTGCCCGCCAGTCTTTGATATCACTCTGGATCATAATTCCGCTCCCTTGGTCTAATAGTGTGACATTCGGATGATTGGATCCATAGAAGTGTCTACTGGTTTGCATTTAGAACAGCCCAGTTTCTTCCAGGATGTCAAGTACATTATTCGCCATCATATGGAAACCCCTGTTTTGGACTGAGTAACCTCAATAACAAAGTATTGTAACCTTCCTAGATCCGTTGTTTGAAAGTGACAAGACAAATGTTATTTGAGATTAACAATTCCTTCAGAGCCACTGTCAGAGTAATATCATCCACATACACTACCTGATAAATAACTGTATGATATGATGAGTGTGTGAACAATACAGAACAACCAACCTTGCTCTGATTCGTGCCAAATTTTTTGAATACTTAACAAAACCTGTCAAACCAAGCATGTGGAGATTGTTTTAAACCATACAACGGTTTCCAAGATTACACACAATGCCTGAATCCCCCTAAAAAATATATCTAGGAGGTTGCTCCGTATAGATTTAATATTCCCAAGTGCCGTGTAAAAAGGCCTTTATATCAAGCTGATATAATTATGAATGAGAGAGGTGCTATGGAAAAAAGGAACCAATAGATGCTATTTTAGAAACATGAGATAGTTCATCACCATAAGCAAGCCAATAAACATTAGTATATCCTTTATCCACAAGACAAGCTTTCAAAATATTGACGGAAATTTATCATCATAATCAAGCCCATAAACCTGACTATATCATTTAGACACGAGACAACTTTCAAACGAGCAACAATTTCTTGCGGTCCAACCTTGAATCTAGAAACCCATCTACAGCAAACAAGAGGCTTTCCATGGAGAGATGAAACAAGAGTCCAATTTTTATAAGAGCGAGCACATTCATTTGGTCAATCATAGCATGTAGCTAGCCTGGCCGGGAAAGTGCATCAAGGAAGTTTTCGGAATATTATCAGATGATTGAGAAGATACAAAAGCCGAATGGGTGGAAGATCCAAAGCATGACTCATTTAGGATTGGAGTTGACAAAACTTCTGAAAGGGTCACGATGACGGCAATTGTAGAACTTGACAACAAAGTAGTGTGATGTGGTATTTTAACAGAAGATAGTGAAAAAATTTGTGAACTTTTTACACATGAAAAATATCATAGAACTATTGTGTTACTTATATACAGAAAACAAAAATGATCTTTAACGGGCAAACCGTCGAATGACGTTCAATGTAACGAAGGAGACCATTGAGGAAGATGGTAAGGATGAACATCAAACCACCATAACCAGACGAGGGGGATGAAGGCTATGCTAGAACGTTAAGTCTGATAGCAATCTGAGTTATGGATGGCGGCACATGGACAACACACACTTGGACAAGAGAGAGGAAGGTGGCATGTCAGTGGTTGACAGTGATGAGACCAAATTCGGTGATGTAGAGGTGCTTCTCTGTGCTCGTGTTTATTGACTTAAAGCAAATAAGCAAGTTTTAACTTAAAAGCTGCTTATAAGTTATATTTTTTTGTGGAAGTAAAATGACTTTAAAATGATAGATAAATCATTTCGAGATATTCATAAAAGGTGAGGAATACTTTTGTAAATAATCTTGTCAAAACGAAAAAACTAGTTTAAAAATAAGTAGGTATGACATACTTTTTTTACTTATAGCAGTTTATATGTCGGCTTATAAGCACGGAGAAACATGTCACCAACTGACTTATAAGTTAAAAGCAGCTTATAAGCAATTTTGACCAACTTATAAGCACAAAGAAACACAAACGTACTCAAACTCCTCCAAATTAATTTTTCATTTTTAGAACAAAGACAAAACATAGAGGGTACACGACTAGATTGAACCTTTCTATGAATCTCATATTAGAAGTGTCTCTTACACTAATTCATTCTCCTAAGACCCTTTAAATACTCCCTCCGTCCCTAAATGATTTACACACTTTACTATTCAAAAATTGCGGGAACATTTGTTTATTTGTGTGTTTTTATTGACTATTTGATGAAATGAATTATTCTTGTCACCTCTTGTTTTGTAGAACTTTTGATGTACTTTTAAAATATGTTGGTTTTATTTTTTATTTATATACCAATCCTTAAATAAAATGAATTGAAAAAGCTTGAAATTTTACTTCATTTTGCATAAAGAGTAAATGATTTAGGGAGGAAGTAAAAAACTATACATATGAAGTCAAGAACAACTTCCCTTACTTGAAGAGCTTGGTTCTTTACGGAGTGGACAATGAGTAAAGCAACAGTCCTACTCAATTAGACGCACGAATGAAAAATATTTACAAATGCTACTTAATAGACAAAACATTTCAGCAATTAGCAATATGATATCATGGTGCAAATGACGCATATATAGTTATATGTGATATAACTGGTTTGCACCAGTATGCACATCGCCTGAAATCCAGCATATCATGAGGGGCATATTGAAGTAGCTTGTCAATTCATCAGGGAAACGATAATGATTGGACACATTTTTGTTAGATTCATTAATTTTAGTAACCAAACTCCAAACATGTTATCATCTAAGAATTGGGTATAGAAGTATATTTGTAACTAGATTTCTGGATATGATCTATACGCTCCAACTTGAGGTGCTGAATATAATAGTGTAACCCTACCCTAACAGTAGCACACTTTGTTCATTTTGCATATCTTGGGGTTATAGGTAAGGACCTTTTATACTGACATGCACTAATGCAGATATGAATACAATATATTTTCTTCTTACATTCCACAATACCCTACAAGACTCGACAAAATATGCTTAATGATATTTCTAATCAAGAAACAAAGTGTAATAAGAATGCATTATGGATAGAATTAGTAAAGCAAATAAAGCTCAAACATTCTCAAACAACACACGTCTAGTTCAATAATTTAAACAATCCACGATACTATTATAGAACCAAAATGGCATTGAGTTTACCTTCTTCTGCTTTTGTATTTCAGACAGCACTCCACTAATGCCAACTAATGACTTTGAACTTGTTAAATGAACACTCAAAACACTGCACAAGAAGGCCAATATAAGAAACTACATATAGAGAACAGCTCATGTTTTGGCTCGTTTGGTGTTTGTTCATTCTTGTTTTATAATTAAACGAACATAAACTAGATTTGTTTTAAGGATCAAGAATAATAAAATAAAATAAAAAACTTGAACAATGAGAAGCTTGTTTGATAAAAAAACTTATGAAAAGCTTGATCTCTATTGATAAAGATGTTCATGAACAAATTTGCTTAAAGGTCCCACAAGGGTAATCATGAAAAGGTTTAATAAATAGTATGTATTCTTTATTTCTTTTATATTTTACTAAATTAGTATGATTTGTCATTTGTGATATGTAATTTTAGTGTCTTAATGATGAGAAAATTGGTGAATTTATCTGTTCATTTGATTATTCCTTAAGGGCGTGTCTACTTGCGCATTTAGAGTTCACAAACACGCTCATTAAAGTTAAATGAGCATGTTGATGAACAATAAATGAAGGAATATGAATGCATCTATTTAAACACATTTCAAGTATATATTCAATCGTTACTGGAACTCAATTTGGCTCATACTCGTTCGGTTACATCCCTACATCCATTTGATTTGCATGCAAATATCATGCATAAAAGCCAATGATCCATTACACTAAACAAAAGTACCCCAAGAATGTCTTCAATTAATAATACCCCAATCTTTCTTCCTTTTCTTGGTACAACAGCAACAAACTAAATACAATCCCAACTCCATTGGGGTGTGGGGGTCAAGATATACGTAAACTTACCCCTGAAAAAAAGAGGTTGTTTTTGTTAGACCATTGATGCATTGCCGCATTTAGTCCCCAAAACATCATAGAAAGTAAGAAGCAAGGGAAGTTTAGTGTCATTGCGACTTAGTCCATTATTTACCCTGAAGCTAAAACATTGTTGTAAATTAACTTTTAACTGCATTGTCAATACACGACAATAATTGGCTATTCTGTGAGAATCGTGAATCCTCAAGTGAGCATGCCTAATAAACTAGCCAAGGCTTAAATAAGGTTAGCCTAGTTCTAATATAATACTACTGCTTCTATCATAAATTTAAAAGAGTAAAGCAATTACGTGTTACATGTATGTTGCTTACTTCAGCTTCTTTTTTGCTGTAGCCTCAACGACCCAATCACCAACACAATCAAAATCTGTCTCTTTTGGAAGAAGATCCACCTTTATCAAGCAAAATTAGATTATTTATGTTGAAAACCATAAATATTGAAATGAAACGTGTTTAAAACAAGAGCAATAGTACTAATGTTTACACAAAAGAACTGTCAGCTCTTGCATATTTTACCTTAGTCACAACTAATATGATTGGATTTGCACCAGCAAGATCTCTAATACGAGCCAAAAAGCTGCCGTTGAAATCAACAACATCAACCTAAAGAGAGTACAATGTAAATATGTGCCATAAGATAAAAATAAATCTCTTTAATTTCTACTGCAGGTTTACTTGGACAGAAAAAGAATACAACAGAAGGATGCAGCACTAAAGGCAGTACAAAATGTATATGACTACAGTACAAACCATTAATATTGGAATGCTAGTATGTACAGTACTATTTTATTTTATGGGACTTAAAAAGCATAATCTATCTGCACAGCATTTTTGAACTCTTACATACTTGGATTTCAGTGTACTTACAGCCTTTTTCTAACTGTACAAAAAAATATTGCTAATTTTGCAAACCAAGAAACTTTGTCAAATCCTTGCTGGAATCCTCCTGAGTCATGACTGTTTCTTATAAATTAAAATAAAATAACTAGTGACTAATTATTGTCTCATTTGCCGATACCAATTTGACAATCAGAGCTTTCTCATGACGCAAATGAGATAACTTTTCCCGAAGCTCTTCTGCTGAAACAAACTGCTTCCCAGCAGAATAACCCCCATGTCCACCAACAGCAGTAATAATGTGGCCATGAGACAATAAGCGGCACCTTCCACAAAGGACTGTCCTAAGCTGATGATGTTTCTTCTTCTGTAAATCCAAAAGGACAATCAAGCAGAATAGCAAATCATTAGAGCATGAAATAGCCATTAACATCAAGCCATGCATGAAATTTGTGTTTGAGATTCAAATGAAAAACCTTAAAAGTTAAATTTGCAGATATCACTAGTACACAACATATTTATATTGTTCAAGTACGAACTCAACAAGCATCAAACTGCCACCATTACACTATGCATAGAGTCGGTTCTCAAATAACAACAACAACCCAGTTGAATCCCACCAAAAGTGTGTGGGCAGACCATGCCCCTAGTGGAAAGTACAGAGGTTGTTTCCAAGAGACCCCCGGCTCAAACAGCAAAAATATCATAAGATAATATAAGATGACAGAAGACATGTGAAGCACATAATGCATGGAAAGCACAGAGCACAAGGCGGCAAAGGGTAAACTAATGTTAATGAATAAAATGAAAGAAGCACAGAAGCAAAGCACCAGAGGCAGAAAGCACCTGAAGCCAGAACCACCACGCATACAAAGCACACAACAAGAAGTGCATAAACTACCACCTAACCTAAAGTGCCTACCCAACTACCTTAATACTAGCTCTCCAAAACTCCTATCTATGGCCATATCCTCGTTAAGGGCTGGAAGTCCTAGGTCTTGTCTAATCACCTCCTTCCCATTCTTCTTACGTCTATCCCTTTCCCTATTCCAAGCCACCAACATAAGTCTCTCGCATCTCTGCACTGGGGCGTCAACACTCCATCGCCTATCAAAGTGGGAAGTTAATGAGTCGGTTCTCAAAGTGGGCTTAAAAACATATTCACATACAAGCCAACAAAAGCCAGCATTTTCAATTAACTAAACAAAGCCCTAACATGTCTGATAATCCAGCTTCAAGCCTTAAACACATAAAGTTCCTTCCAGTGAGCGAAGTAACGGATAGACTTCCAAGTAATTGCATACCAATTCATAGGTTTCCTGGTCAACATATCCGGGAACATCCATTTCGGACGTCTGTAATGGAGCACCGCACCCATAACAGCTCGGAGCTAAAGTCGAGAATTTGACGACTTTTTCTTTCTTGTGCCTTTTCTTCTTTGGCGCGGCAGCCATAGCCGCCGCGGAATGCTGGCGCTGGATGAATATATCTCCTCTTGTCGGAGCTGCAGCTCCTGCTCCGTCAGATTCGGTCCATGACTGTGTGCAGGTGATGACATCGGGTCGGCGTATTGAGACCCTGAATACATACGGTTTGCAGTAAGGGATAGGGATAGGAAACGGAGCAAGGGAAGCAGTTGAGGAGAGGGAGAAGGGTTTAGGCGCCATTTGGTTTGATGGGTTACAAGTGTATGGCCATTATTATTGATTCAAAGAAAAGCTAATAAGAGCTTCTCAATGGATGATGTTTAATAGCACTCAGAATATGGCAAATAAGAAATAAAATGACACACAATGACATGAAAACTTTCAACCAATAAAAAACAGTCCAGTCAGCGTGTGGCATGAGAGTGGAGTGGCATGTTATGCAGTGGCAAGTCATTGTTTTTATCAATTTTACTCTTTTTGCACATTTTAATTAATTAAATTTATTTTATTTATATTTTTTTTAAATAAAAAATAAAAATATTTCAAAATTATTTAAATTATTTAAATTTAGTTTGTTTATATTTTTATAAACTATACTCTTTTTAAAAATATTTCTTATTTAAAAAAAATGCATTTTTTTTTTCAAATTTTACATTTTTTACATATGTCTTTTTACTACAGAGTATTAAGAATGAATTTACTTAGGTTTTTTCCAAAAAAAATGCATCTACTTTTTAAAAATCTTTTATTTTATGGAGGAAAAAAAAAAGAAAACAAAAATATTGCCTCGCCCATTACTTGCCAAGCATGGCAAATCACTATAGCCTTGCTAGGCATTCTACTTCATGTGCTTATGTGGCAGGTGTGGCAGTGGCAGAGCCACGCCACTGCCACTCCCATTGCTCTAAGAGCGAATAATAGCAAGGCATATAGTTACGCGCTGACATGACACTGCTGAGCCAATCATAGTCAGTTTAGTCACACAGTGGCATGGCATTAGAGTGGTACATTCTACAATAGCATGTCATTATTTTTTTCTCTATTTACATTTTTTATATTATTATATATTTTAATCACTCGGTTTTACTTTATGGTCTACTCGATACATTTAACTTTTGGTTTTTTTTAAATTATAAATATTTTTACCTATTTTGTTTTAAAAATCTAAATTATACTCGGTATAATTTAGTTATTCAAAAGTAGTTTAGTTTTCTATTTGAAATTAAAAATAGAGTACAAATAATTTTTGCAAAATGCAAAGGGAAGGACTTTTGCTGATGATTTTCTACTCCGTAATGGAATATATGGAAATTTGAAATAGAATACAAATTAAAACTAGAGTACAAATTAAAAAAGAGAAAGCAAAGTAAAGTAGTGGAATAGTGCTTTGTATTTTACGGTGGAAGCAAATCAAAGTACTGGAAGAAGAGTGCTTTTTTTGCCGCTTCTTGCCTCGCACTCGCCACGGAAATCAGAGTGACACGCCACATGCCATGCGATCCAATTTTTACTTTGCCCATTGTGCTCATTTCCTCTCCATGAGTGGCAGTGCGTGGTAAGGTAAGACCTCACTGTTGTCAATGCTCTTAAAGCTTTTTAAAAATATGGGTGGAAGTGCAGCACTTACACCAAAAATTGTACCTCAAAGTTACATCAAAGTTCTACAATAACATTTTTATAATTTACAATGACATAAAATGTTGATGCGTTAATAAAAATGTATCCTAACATTTTGTGTCTGTGTGAACTATCACCCTAACATTACACTAACACAAAATGAAAGTGGAAACTTGCGGGGTACAAATTGGGGTACACATAACTTATTTTTATCATTTAGGGCATGTTCTTTAGGACTGTAAAAAAAGAGCTGGATGTTGGAGGAAACTGGAAGGAACTGGAAAAAATTAGAAAAAACTGAAAGAAACTGGAAGGAACTGGAAAAAACTGGATGGAACTGGAAGAAACTGGAAGAAACTAGAAAAAACTGGAAGGAACTGGAAGAAACTAGAAAAAACTAGAAAACCTAAAAAAACTTTAAAAATATTTATTTTAACTTCTTGTTGTTATAAATTATTATTATTATTATTATTATTATTATTATTATTATCATCATCATCATCATCATCACGTTATCTTAGTGAATATCTTTAAGATATAAAAAAGTATTGTTATTTTTTAAAATACAAAAAAACTACTTTTACAAAAAATAATTATAATATAAAGTTAGCATAAATAGAAAAATATTAAATTTTAAAAAGGCTGTGTAGTTATATTGCACCTCAATTTATTTATGCAGTATTTATTATAAATAATATATTTGTTATTATAATTTATATATTAAAACATTTTGTTTTAAATATCATACATGTTACATAATCAAACCTATTGTTTCTTTCATGATTGACATTTTATTTTCATTGAATTCCTATTTTTGGAATAAAGACATAGAACTTTTTTGTTTACATTTTTTACGTTTTACTGATATTTTAGTCTTTTTCTCTAAGCTCTTTTGACTTACAATTTTTTTATAAAAATTAGAAAAATGAGCAATTTTTAAGTAATAAAGGGAAAACTGAGATGTCTTAAAAAAAGTTATATTAATAAAACATTCAATGTAACTATTATATCCTTAATTTTTTAGTATAATTTAACATATTGATGTTTTCTTGTTTTATCATGTAGACTAATATACAAAAAATGTCTTATTCATATTAAAAAGTTGAAGAAAAAAATAATAAGTGTGGATCATAAAAATAGTGAGATGAAAAAAATAATTTATAAACTATAGTTATGAATATAACAGTTGTAGTAGTAGTAATAATAATAATAATAATAATAATAATAATAATAATAATAATAATAACAATAACAACAATCACATTGAAATATATCATTTCTAGAGTAATTGGTTGAGGAGTAGAAAGAATTTGAAGAAAATGAGAAAAATTGGAGGAAACGGGAAGAAACTGAAAGGATCTGGAAGAAACTAGAAGGAACAGGAAGAAACTGGAAGGAACTGGAAGAACGGGAAGAAACTAGAAGAAACTGGAAAAAACTAGAGGTAACTGAAAGGAACTGGAAGAAACTGGGATAAAATTGGGATAAAATTATAACCGCGTAGAGCTAAGTTGGAAAAAAAGTTAACTAGAAAGGTTTATTTTAAGAAATTGCTCTATGTAATTAATGCTTAATTAAGAATGATTCGGGAAAATACCTTATTAGAAAGGACCATTTTGTGATTACTTAAAGAAATTTATAAATTATAGATAGGTGACTAAAATACAAAAATTCTTTAATATTATATTTAAGACTATATTTTTTCTAAGAGAATGATACATATCATGATTATGTACCAAACTTTTAGACAAATTGGATAATACATATACTAAGGGTTGGCTCAATTATTATCTTAAATTAAATTACCCAGAACTTTTGTTTATGATAAAACTAATTGTATTATGAAATAAATGTACTTTCATACGATTTGACTATTTTTTAAATGATCCAATATTTAAATTAAATAAAGTAGAAAAAAGATTTAATATGATTTTTGTAGGAGTGTTCAATCGGATCGATCCGATCCGAAAATTCGGATATCCGAAAATCTCGGATCATGTAAAACTCATTCCATATCCGATCCGAAAATATTCGGATATCCGAAATTCGGATATCCGATTTTTCGGATCGGATCACTAGATTATCCGAAAAGTTGAGTTTTTAGCCAAAATTTACAAGAAAAAAAGGTAAAATAGCAAAATCAACCCAAAATATCAAATTCAATATAGATTTACAAAAAGAAAAATTCCAACACTTAGTAATGGCCTAATAAAAAAATGACAACAAATTTAATTTGGGAGTAACTTTGGTAATTTTGCCTAAACAAACAAAAAAATACTATTAAAACAAAAAATTCTAAAATGCTAATGCAAAAAGTCCAAAATGGTTGAGTTCCAAAATCAACATAAGATTACATTTAAACATATAGTCATAATATATATCCATAAAATTCCAAAAACATATAGCAAAAAAAATCGGATATCCGATTATCCGAAAAATTCCAGAAATTGAATCCATATCTGATCCGATTTTTTTCGGGTATCTGATCCGAAATATCCGAAAGCTAAAATATCGGATCGGATATCCAATTTTCGGATCGGATCGGCCCGGATCGTGGACGGATATTTCGGATCGGATATTTTTGAACACCCCTAGATTTTTGTACTTTATCTTGGTCTCAGTATTTTAATCAAAATAAGTTTGTACTATAACTTACTATTTTTCGTAAGGTCTAACCATTTACTCAGTATATACTTTTATTTAATTATAATTTACTTTATTTAGGTATAAAAATAAGAAAGTTAAAATGAGAGAGGGCTTACTTCCTACATTTTCATTTACGCAATCGTACATAAAACTTCATATGATGATATTTTAAGAGATAACATAGATTAAATCAAAGAATATTATGATAAAGAAAATCAAGGTGTGGAGCGGAGCGTGAGAAGATCTGTGACAATGAAGATATAAACGCAGAGATAATCAATAAAGCAAAAAAAGTGCATAGAAAATCCAAGGTACAAGCACTAATAAGATTGAGACTTAGTTACAAGTTACAACCACATTAAAGAGAAATTCAAGTTCTCATTGTAACTATTTGTATTTTGATAAAACATATTGTATATTGACCAGAATGCTTTAACCAGCTTAATGATTTGCATTTTTAAAAAAAGGAATAAAAAATTGCTAATTTTTTTTGTAAATTGTCCTTAAAGAAATCAACCAAAATATGAGTAAAATATTGTCTTTATTACCATAATAGGAGTGACCTATTTTTATTCCAAAATAATATTATTGCATTGTGACAATGTGACACTATATATAAGTATTTCATTGTACTTTTTGGTATTATATGTTCACACTACTTTCATTCTTCTTTTGGAGATAAAAACATGAAGGTTTTATTTTGGTTATTTTCCTACACTTTACTCATATACTCCGTATTAATCTTTCTCACTTTCCGTTCAAAATCATTGGAGCACTAATATTTCTTTTTGTATTAATATTTTTTAAAATCAATGTGTGAGAGAATATCATTGAATTTTAATTTTTTTAAATTAATATTTTTAATCATAGGGATTTAGGAGCGCTAATTTAGGATTCTTTTTTCCGCTAATCTTAATTAATTAATGGGGGAGAAGAATCAAATTTTTAATCGTAGAATTATAAGGTTGATAATTTAGATTTTTTAATTAATGCGAGGGAAAGAATCATTAGATAACTAATGTCTTTTGTATTAATATTT